AATTGGAATTTTTCACACACAAGCCTTGCTATATGAGCTCTCAAAGCATATAAAAATTATACGGCTTAAATGTGAAGTTGGGTGCAAAAGAATACAATTAAATCCTCTGTCGGGAAAAAACGAAATGACTTTCCGAACAACCCGGTAGTTATTCTGACATAGTTGTTGCGGTTATTCAGTAATAATAGTTCGCCCACGCCGCTTATTGTATTTGGTATGATCATTTTTACTAAATTACTAGGCTTGTTCGCCGACCGACTGAAACAAAAGCCACGTTATTGCCCGCAAGAATTTATTGACTCGATTAAGCGTGGGAATTTAAAGAAAATGAATTAATTTACAATATTGTTAATGTTAAGTAGGTAAGCTTTCGGATTTTCCATTTTTTTGTTGTTGTTTAATAAATCACACGAGCAATATTTCAAGAAGAAACGAACAAATTGATTAATCATCTTCATCAGGTTTACATAAAATCCTAATTCTGTTATCCATCAATAAATAATTAATTCTCTAAACTTGCGTAAACCGATACTATCTACAATAGTAATTATTTGAAATGATGTAACTGGCAACCTTATTACAACCATTAGTTTAAATTTCGCACTCGATTGACTTTAAAACAGCACATAATCGACATTGGCTTTGAATATTTTCCCGTAGCCAACTTGTTTTTGTCTTTCTCTTATTTGTTCTTTAAAAATAAAACACGTTTCTGTTCACATTACGAACACAAATGGCATATTTTACGTTGTCATGTCAACAGATACTTAATTACAAATATGTCGGCTCTTATTAAGGATATTCATGCATTAATTATAACATAGAGTTGAACTTTAAACCAGTTAAAGGAGGAGATAGCCTGCTTGATATTATTAAAAAGAAAATGTGTACACTGAGTTTGTTTGTTACCATTTCACGCTTTAACATCTCAACCGATTATCATGAAATTTTGTGTTCGTATTGTCAGGGGTGCTTAGAAGGGTATAGAGTATCTTTTATCCAGAAAAAGAGTACTATTCTCGAGGAATAGAAAAATTAGTTTTATGTGGTCATCGATGATCTCTGACAAGTATTTAGGTTGTAGAAACTAAAACTGCACTTTTTTTGTGAGCAAATATTCATTTTACTTTTTTAAAATGATGTAAGTATTGGCCAAGTTAAGAAACAGATGTCTTCATTCTGATTAAGTAGACAGCAAAGTGTTATTTAAGGCGACCTATCACATACAAAAATGAAAATGCTGCTGGTACTTGTTGGGCTGAATTTAAATGAAGCAAACAAACAGATTCAAAGAATATCAATTTTTTGCTAACGAACTTAAATATATATTTTATGTTCGATAGTTGAATGATTCTAAGGAATCATGATATGTAAAGATTTAAGGAATAATAGGAACCAATAATATTATTTTGATTATTAAAATTATTTCAAAGTTATTATTGTTTAAAAATTAATTTCGTAAATGTAAAACTTGTCTCCTTCTTTTGTTTACTTGTATACTTTTATTGCAAGTTAAATATTACTATACATATGTACAATAAATAAAGTCATTTTGTTTAGAATAATACTGTATATCACAGATAAATTATGCAGCTATTTGACATACCTACATTGGGTAGATACTTTAAATTAATAAAAAAAAAAGAACAGGTCTTGGACTAATTTTGCAATAAATCAAATCGCAAAATAACTATCACTAATCTTAAATGATTTAGTGACTAGTTTTTTAAGGACAAGATACACTTTCTAAAAAAGTGTGCTAAACAAATAAAAAAGGACGTAAATTATTAAAAATTAAATCGTTTCGAATGGTGGTAGTATCATGCCTTATTGAGTGACAGAAGAAATCGTTAATTCGAATAATTAGTACGTAATTTATAAGTGGTTATGAATTACAGAATCAATCAAGGAGTAATATTACTGGAATACCTAAATGTAGCGTAATCAGGACGATAGAGTGGGTGTGTTATGTAGGGTTGTTCGGAAATTCATTTCGTCTTTTTTTGTGGAAATGGAAGACAGTTTTCGTATAATAAACAAATACTTTATTAAATTATATATTGACCGTTCTGGTCCAACACCTTTTGCCATCTTTCTGGTAGTAGCATAATTCCACGCTCATAAAATTTTTGGTCTTTGCTGGCAAAAAACTGATCGAGGAGGTTTTTGACCTCCTCATTTGAGGTGAAGGTTTTACCGTCTAAAAAATTTTGGAGTGACCGGAACAAATAATAATCCGATGGTGCCAGGTCTGGAGAATATGGTGGGTGTAGCATTGTATCCCATTCAAGCTGTAAAAGCTTTTGGCGAGTGACCAAACTTGTGTGAGGTCTCGCGTTGTCTTGGTGAAACACTACACCTTTCCTGTTGATTAGTTCTGACCTTTTCTGTTGAAGTGCATCATTCAGTTTGTCCAGCTGATGACAGTAGACTTCCGAATTAATCGTTGTGTTATCCGGTAAAAGCTCAAAAAAAACGATTCCTTTAAAATCCCACCAAACAGACAGCATCACCTTTTTTTGGTGAATATCGGCTTTGGAAATGGTTTGAGCCGGTTCATCTTTTTTGCTCCATGACCTCTTGCGTTTGACGTTGTTGTATACAACCCATTTTTCGTCCCCAGTGATGATGCGCTTCAAAAACGGATCATTTTCGTGACGTTTGAGAAGCGAATCGCAGACGTCAATGCGGCGACACAGATTTCTCTCTGTGAGAACATGGGGAACCCATACATCGAGCTTCGAGGATAATCCCAGGCCTTTCAAGTGGTCATAAACTGTTGAATTTGATAAATTTAACCTCAATCCGATCTCACGTGTTGTTATTCGCCGGTTCACATCAACTAATGCCTTTATCGCGTCTTTATCAGCTTCAACCGGCCTTCCCGAACGTGGTGCATCTTCGACATCAAAATTGCCGGATCGAAATTTAGCGAACCAGTTCTGGCACTGGCGTACTGTCAACACACCTTCTCCATACACATCAGTCAATTTCTTTCTGGCTTGAACAGCATTTTTACCCTTTCTGTAGTAAAACAGTAAGATATGTCGAAAATGCTGCTTATCGCTCTCCATATTTAAAAGGGCACCAACCAAAAACTACTGCGTAGAATTAATTGGAATTTTTCACACACAAGCCTTGCTATATGAGCTCTCAAGGCATATAAAAATTATACGGCTTAAATGTGAAGTTGGGTGCAAAAGAATACAATTAAATCCTCTGTCGGGAAAAAACGAAATGACTTTCCGAACAACCCGATAATATGAGAAATATAAATAGTGTAATATCTTGAGATAAATTGGCATTGTAAGGTAGACGATCGAAAAATTAATATATAAAAGTATATTATATCGTATTATTTTTCAATTTATCATGTATCTGTTTTGGATTCCAGCATCCTGCATAGACTTCCGAAGAAACGAAGCACACAAATACATTTTGCCGAACTTGAACGGCGAAGACATTTGCAACAGCATCAATTGCACCTCGAATGCCAATTTTGGCACCGTGAACTTTTACCTTTACAACCGATTCAACCCGGACATCCCCTTTCTCCTAAACGAATTCAATATAAGAAACATCAATCCTTCTTTGGAAACGAAAGTAATCCTCCATGGTTGGAACGAGGGCTATAACGCTACATGGGTTATAGACATGAAAAATACCTTCTTATCAGTGGGAGATTATAACATAATACTGCCTGATTACTATTATTACACCAGCCAAACTATTATGATGGGATGTTGCTATTCAAGGTCGATGAGTGAAGTGATTGGGTACTTTCTGGTCCAATTAACCACCGAAGTGGGGTTAGATCTGAAGAAATTACACATTATTGGAGCCTCACTAGGTATAAGTATAAGATTAGTACCATTTCAGTACCATTTTTGGGACACAATTTGGTACCAGGGGTTAAAAATGGTATCCAATCAAAATAAACCTTTCCGATTTTAGGAGCACAAGTGGGAGGTATAGTGGGGGACGCAATAAAGACCTACACCAATGGGATTAAAGTCGCCAGGATAACTGGTTTGGATACGACTTATATGATCTTCCGGGGAAGGCCCGTACAAGATCGATTAACTCCTGACGATGCCGATTTCGTGGACATAATCCATAGTAATTCCGGAGACATGGGTTATCCAGACCCTCACGGTCACGTAGACTTCTACCCCAACTGTGGAGTAACGCAACCCCAATGCGCAAACGAAACAGGTAAATAGGTAATTTTCCATTCAGTCCTTTTGTACCACAACCCCCTTTTGTTTGCAGGCGCTATTAAGTCCCTCTGCGACCATTCCATGTCCCACGTCTTCTTCAACAGGACAATATATTATCCGACCGCTTACGTCGCCGTCGAATGTCTGTCGTGCGATGATTATTTCTCGGGACGTTGCAGTGGTAACAGAAGGGTGATAATGGGCGAAAGCACCCCTACAACTACCAGAGGTATTTATTTCATCGAAATCTACGACGATCTTAGACCACTGATCATTAACGCTATCAACGCCGGTGAATTTGACGATAATCCTCCACCAAGTCTCCAAGGAAACGAAATCTTGGAAGAAAGAAGGTCAAGAATGGGCACGGGCACCGGAAACGACGGTTTCGGTTTCGATTTTCTCACAACGACTTCGACCACGACAACCACAGAAACCCCTGTCTACAGGAACCCTTTCTATTTGAGCAATTTAAGAACTCCTGGGGGTCAGTACCGAAAAGGGTTGTACGGATTAGGTTCCAATCCCGATCCAGCAGGTGACAGACTTCGGGCAGTGGCTGCAACATCGACCACCACATCGACGACTCAAAGGTCTCGAGGAAATGCCCGGTTTGACGACTCCTTCTTCGACAGTTTCGGCGACAATCAAATTTTCGGAAGCACCAGGAGGGTCAACCGAATGAGGGGAGTCCCTAGCTTCATGAGAACATCAACGTCTAACAGGGGTTCATCGATTGACAACCTCAGCGTCCCCTATTACAACACCCCTGAGATTAAAAACTTCAACCACAATGCAGCCTTGCTTGGAGCCGAGTCGAAAGCTGATCCGTACGGATCTAGCACTGGTTCTGGTACAAGTTACGTCCAATCAAACATCAATGGTTACAATGGTGGATATGCAACACCATCTCCTTTGTCTTCCTTTCAAAACCCTACACAATCTTTGGATCTACCATCGGGAAACCCATCAGTTTTCAACGAAAGATACCTGGCCAACAGGTTCAACTATTCCCTTGACGATCCAATTGGACCAGGGAACTTACCATTGGGTGGCACGCAACCAAACCAACCAGTGTACCAGAATAGCGCTTTCGTAAATCAACAGCAGTCGACAAATCAAAACAATTTAAATGTACGGGGTGTTCCCAGAACAACGTACCAAAATTCGCAGACGCAATTGTACCAAGCGGAAGTCAGCGTGTGGAGAAGACAGAACTTCAGACCCAATGGGTCTCCGAGAAGACCAAGCAATGACTATGAATATGATCCAAATGGAAATCAACAAACGTTTCAGTTTTACACTACGTACAATAACAAAAAATAACAACGGTAAATAAAAAGGAATAAACCATTGTAAATAGTGTAAATTAGAATGTTTTCTTGATATTAGATAAATAATTTCTATTGCAACTGTTATTGTAAATTGTATAACTCTATATCCTTTACAGGTACTAAAAATATTTATTGTCCATTACATATTTTTTCTGCAGTGCGCTTTTTCGTGTCTCTATTTCCTGACTATTTTTGTAAATATTTATTAAACATAGTTATCCATCTAATAAATAATGAATAAAGACTTCGTTTTTGACCACGGTCTTCAATGTGTATTAAACAAGACATTTTTGTACCAAGAAATAAATAATATTTTGCACGTTTTTGAAATTATTGTGTTTTCGTTTGTTTGTGGATGTGTCAAGCAATATGTTTAAAAAAAGAGAAGAAATTGTTCAAATAAACACACGGTGTTGAAAGTAATCGAAGAGACATTCACAGAAAGATTGGAGGTAAGTAAGTGTTAATTACAAATTATGGGCATATTCAAACTTTTGACGTGACAACGTCTTATAATCCGATGGAGCCGGCTGCACGCACGAAAAAACATGACTCATGCGGCGTTACCTCGCTCTAAGGCGTTCCATTTAAGGCTTGAAGTGCAAGCGAGAGCGCGGAACGAGCGACAAAGAGGCACAATCGGCCTCCGCGTTCGGCAGCGTTCGACATCTGTCTCTCTCCTACTTGAGTGAGCGATGCGTCCGCGTGAACAGCTGCTATACAATAATACATTTCCATTTGCCTCCTTCTCTATATCCATACAAAATATCTATCAAACAAATAAAATTAAAATTTTCTTTTGAAAAATGAAACCATTCCATCACTATTTTCTTATGACGTTGTCACGTTCAACTATCGTCAGTAAACCGACTTTACAGACAACCGATTTTCTTTAATAAAAAATGTGCTTAATAATATAATTAAATAAATATCACAAAAATAGCAATCTTTAAAGTAAAATCTAATATAAAACGTAGTAGATTTTCTGCTATCGCATTGGCATAATTATCTAGTTAAGTGGTAAGAAAAATATTTGGTTTGGTTAGGTTGGGTAGTAGAAATAACGAAATTGAATATATCTAACAAAAGACGTTGAAACGTTTCGCTAGTTTAATTATGGATAGATAGTTTTAATTTTATGATTAAGTAGTTATTAAACGTAAAAGGTGTTTGGTTTTGCAAACACTTATAAAATCTAATATTTTATAGAGGTAGTTTAAATAATTAAATCCAGTACCTAGCAAAATTAATCCATTTTAAATCGCATTTGTTGTTAAGTATTACATAGGCTTGCAGGTAATATAATAGTAACGTAACCTTGATTATATGCACCGCAATAATTACACCTTTTAGGTCACTTCCCGAAAAAAAAAGGAAAATGTTTATTACCTTAAGTCATAAACAGAAATATACACAAAATACTTGCCTGATTTACTTCAGAAATATCCAATAGGTAAGTTCTACTTTTACTAGAAACCATAAATCCATTTTCAAATCTTTACAACTTTATGACACACTTTAAGTGTATAGTTATAAAACAATATTTGTTATCTCAAAATGACTGTAAAATATTGTAGAAATTAAGGTAATTTATACTAAAAGTAACCACTGATTTTGTAGTAAGAATTGACATAAAATTTTCACATATTTCGGTAGACTAAAACCTTTTTTTAATACAAATCTCAGCAATGTTCAAATAAATAATTTCGGTTTTTAAAAGATTTATAGACGATAAATATATTTCTGCATTACCAATAAGTATTAAAGAATAAGATCAAGAATTGCTTTATAAGGTGCTGTACAAGGAGTTTTCTCAGTCCATGGAGAAAGGTCACGGACATGTGTTGCACTATTTTCTGAATATATTTGGTTTATTTGTAGTGTATAAATATAACNATTTTAAGGGCATGGCAGGTTCGGCTTACGGAAATTTGTCGTAATTAATTATGTTGTGTTAATTTTGATGCGGAAATCGTATGTTCGGTTTGTTTTTGCTGGTTTAGGGAAAGAAGAAAGAAAAAGCACAGTTGAAATATTACAAAAAGGGCTCAAGAACATTTAATCACTTAGGTAGATTAATTTTAAGTATCTAAATATATGTATAAAAATGTTTAAGTACTTAATTAATATTTAGTTATGAGGAAGAAAATTAATCAAAAATATATCACATAAATAGAATAAATAATATTTTGCGATTAAGAGAATGTATTAGTTATCTAGAAAGAAAAAAGCCCAAAAATTGTATTGTAAACAGTATTACGTCATTTGAATAAAATATTTCGAATTGTTGAGCAGTTTTCAAGGTATTTCAGACATTATAACTGTATATGATCAGTAATTATTATTGCAGGAAGAAGTTGATGCAACTTTTGATCTGTTTTTTGACTACAAACCAGAGAATAGTATCTACTAAATGTTATTAAATTATGCGATAAATATTCATTTGAAAATTACATATACATATTTTTTCTGAATATATTTGGTTTATTTGTAGTGTATAAATATAACTATAATTAGTTAAAGTATGTAATTAGTAATATTTATTGGTGTATTTCAGTTGCTTTTCATGTCACACATTTTTTTGGGCTATTTTAAGTTTAAACGTAAACACAAAATATAATTAAATATTATCTTTTTTGTTTCCTGTACCCCTACGCATAGAAGAATTGCATTTAATTAGTTAAAGTAATTTTTCTTAACCAGTAAAGATATGTTACGTTATATATACAACATAGCTAATCGCAAGACAAATTCTTGATCTTTGATAATAAAATGTGCTGTAACTACGTAACTGTTTATTAAAACAAAAAGGTACTTAATAAAAATGACCTATACAAAAAAATTCGGTGTACAGCGAGCAAACTAGAGCAGTGCGTAATTTGCAAGTCTAATCATGGACTTTTGACATTTCACCAGCCGAAAAAAACTTTTTCCTTTTCCTTTTCTTCTCTTATTAGGCAATAGCAACTTGGGCGTTGTTTTTTAATCATGTCGTTAAATAATTCAATAGGCATAGACATGTAGAAATCACCCATGTGCATAATAATAATAAGTACTTGACGCCTATATAAAAAATAAGGCAATTTTTAGTCTTAAATATTCATAAATATCACGTAATTTTATAAATATAGTTGTTCTGTAAATTAAGAGACCTAAATCAAATTTTTACTAACTTTTCGGGTTCGTCGTTAGACACCTGCTGTTGGTATCTCCAATATTTTCCTGAATAAACCGGAAACTAATGCAGCCATCAAAAATGCTTCATACAAAACTTTTTCTACTATTTAATTACTATTTGACTGCACAAAAACAAATTTGAAAACTTAGACCTTAAACGGACAATTTCGATTTAAATTTTTCCGGGTTCGTCGCTTGACGCAACGTTGATCTCTCCTTACATTTCCTTGAATAACTCGAAAACGAATGGGACTAGCGAAAAATTTTTCAAACAAAAGTGCTTCCACTACTCAATAGCTATAACTCTGTATGTAAACGACTTTGTTTGAGACAACGTTTCGCCCAAAAAGAGCCATCTTCTGTCTTGATGTCAGCAGCTCATACTTGTGCGGGAATTAAATATAAAATTAAGGCAAAATTAGTCGTAATGAGGCACTAATAGTTTATACGAGGGGATAAAACAATTACTAAAGCACTTATTGCCGCTTTCTATATCTGAACACCTTGTAAAATATATGCCTATTGTAATATAAGCGCATTTAGACAGAAAATCAGATTAGAATTTGTGTGTCCATAAGGAAAATGTTAATAAAAAAGTGTCGATATACTGATAATATACATATTTAAATGTCAAGTGTGTTGTGACAAATAGCCAGAAAATTTGGGCTAAATGAAAAAGGTTAACAAGAAATTAAATTCGAGCAAGGCATAGACATTATATGTTGTTATTTCTTTGTTAAACAGTTTTCATAATGAAATTGTGAATCAGGTAATGACATTGGCAGTTATTTAAAATATGTGTAGTACAGAGTGTTTAGAATATCTTTGAAATCCTTTACAGATCAGTGTCTAAGACATACCTACTAACTTAATCCTTTATATTCGATACCAAATTTAGAATTTTATTCACAACACTGACTTTCGGTTATTGCAACTGATTTTGAAAGACGAATTAGCCAATAAAAATTAGTGTTAGTACTTGTGTCAATGTTAAAATTTTCGAAATTGACTGAAACAAATGGTCTGGGTGTCTTCAAGTGAATTAAATTTTGGTTCAATATGAACTTAACGGTTTCAAGAGCGATTATTTCTAATTTATATGGTACATTTTACATTTTTTTGACCATAATTTTCATTCAGTTAATAACTCAATACATAATTAGTTTGATATTAATACCAATAAATATTATATGTCATCATCATAATAGGGTCATCAGTTTTAAGACTGGTTGGACACGTACCTCCACTCTTTCCTATCCTGAGCTAAACCCTATTAATTTTCCTTTATTATACCTAGTTGTGGATTTTTATCATGTTAATAAAGTATACTAATTATTAATTTCCGTTCTTAACGATTAAATAAAAATTTCACTCAATTTTTCCTATTATCAAAAAACATAACATAGATATGCAATGCCACAAAAATCATATTTTAGATTAAGTTGGATTTAAATTAATAGTATCAACGATTTTTTTAGCACGCGGTAGAGATGAATACTTAAAACTCACACACGTAGCAATCAATTACTTTCATACAATAACTAAGCAATAAATTTAATAGTGGTCAATGAATTTGTGGTACTATTAACATAATTAAATTACTATTTTAGATTTAACATACATAAATCTCCCAAATCGTCAAATTTAGCATAATTTTGTATATTTAATACATAATGAATGTTGAAATGTTCTACATCTGTTTAATATTTACAGACAACCG